ACAAAGAAGAATAATACGGTTATTAGTAATAATAATATTACGAATAAGAAGACGAATACTAATAATAAGAATAATAATGGGAATACGCAGAATCATAGCACGACTAAAAATGATAAGAATAATAGGAGGAGGAGAAGCAATACTAAGGATACGAATCCTACTAATAAGAAGAGGAGGAGGAGGAGGAGGAGGAGGAGGAGGAGGAGGAGGAGGAGGAGGAGGGGGAGGAGGAGGGAGGAGGGGGAGGAGGAGGAGGAGGCGGAGGGAAGAGGAGGGAGGAGTCGGAGAGAGCAGCAGGAGGAGGGAGAGGGAGAGAGGAGGATGAGGAGGATGAAGAGGAGGAGGATAAACAGAGAAGAGGGACGAGGGAGGAGGGATGTGGTGGGGGAGGGGCGTTCATGATGCTGCAGGAGTGTGGATGGGGGAGGGACCGGGACGTGGCGGGAGGAGGGAGGACAGCAGGAAGCTGAGGCGAAGCAGGGGGGGAGGAGTGAGGGGTGAAGAGTGAGGAGGAGTGAGCAGGAGGAGGGAGAAGGGAGGAGGGAGGAGGAGGAGGGAGGAGGAGGAGGGAGGAGGAGGAGGGAGGAGGGAGGAGGGAGGAGGGAGGAGGAGGAGAGAGGAGAGAGGAGGGAGGGGAGGGGGAGGGGGAGGAGGAGGAGGAGTAGAGGAGGAGGGGAGGAAGAGAGGAGGAGGAGGAGGAGGAGGAGGGGGAGGAGGAAGGAGGAGGAGAGGAGGAGGAGCAGGAGGAGGAGGAGGAGGTGGAGGAGGAGGAGGAGGAGGGGAGGGAAAACGAGACAGGCTCGGAGGCAGGAAGGGGCTGGAGACATTCTCGGAGACATTCTCTGGATGGGCGTGGCGGCCTGCGCAGGCCTCCAGCGAGCCGGAGGCGGCCGACTCGCCGCGCAGGGCGGGCACCTTCTGGGAGCTGCTGGCGCGCGAGGAGCCCCCGCGCCCTGCGGCGGCTGCCGCCATCTCCCTGCTTCGGACGCTGCGAGGCACAGGCCATCGACGCTGTCCAGGTCCTGCCTCTCCTCCTTCTCCCCCCCCCCCTCCTCTTCCTCCTCCGCCTCCTCCTCCTCCTCCTCCTCCTCCTCATCCTCATCCTCATCCTGATCATCCTCATCATCATCATCATCATCATCATCATCATCATCATCATCATCATCATCATCAGCATCATCACCATCATCATCATCATCATCGTCCCTCCTCCTCTTTTTCCCCCTTGCGTTCTTATTTATGATAAACAATTCCTCCCTGTCGCATCTCGAATCCAGTCGGAAGGGCGGGCTGGGCGTTTCGCTTGAGACGTCCATGCCGTTCATGATCTTGGAGCTTAGAAGATGGCGACAGTTTGACATACGGAGGACGGGGTGTTTCCAACATGTCGCTCTCGCCTTAACGTTGCGCATATTCGTTTCAAGACATGCAAGAGTTTCACGGACTGATGGCGGGCTTTTCTCGCCTTAGCGCCGCGCACGCTCGATTTAGGACTTTGCAAGTTTCGCGATTGAGGGCGGGTGTTTTTTTTGAATGTGGCCATCGCTTCAGCGCCGCGCACATCCGTCTTAACAGTTGCAAGCATCTCACGGATTGAAGGCGGGTCCTCTTCAAAATGTGGTTCTCGCCTGAGCGCCGCGCACGTTCGTCGTAAACATGTGCAAGAGTTTCACGGGCTCCCATGCTAACGTTTCAGAACTGGTGTTTTGGAATGGTCCAGGATTGTCAGGGCGCAACAGTTACGTTGATTCGTGGTGTTGAAGTCGCAGGAATGGCATTCTGGCGCGATTCAGGTTCGTCAAGACGCGATTGTCAGGTTGATTCGTGGCGTTGGAGTTCCGAGAGTGGTCTTTCGGCAGGCAACAGGATCTTCAAACGATTGTTTCCCGACGGGGCCCTTCCTTCAGTGGAAGTGCCACTTGCAGGGACTTATGAAGAGGGAACTTGGAGGGTGCGCTTATTCCAACATCTTTTAATGAGTCTTGGGTTTGCACTGGTCCTCCTCCTCCTCCTCCCCCTCCGTTCCTTACACATATTTTTCCCTGTCGCACCCCGAGGCCAGTTTGTAGGGCGGACCGGGCGTTTCGCCTGAGACTTCCTCACTGTTTATGATTCTGAAGCTTGGGAATTGGCAACAGTTTCACATATTGAGGGCGGGCCGTTTTCAAAATGTGGCTCTCGCCACAGCGCGGCGCACATTCATTTTAAGAATTTGCAAGAGTTTCACGGATTGAGGGGGGCCGTTTTCAATATGTGGCTCTCGCCTTAGCGCGGCGCGCATTCGTTCTAAGGATTTGTAAGAGTTTCCCGAATTCAGGGCGGGTCCTTTTCAAAATGTGGCTCTGGCCTTAGCGCCGTGCACATTCGTTTTAAGAATTTGCAAGAGTTTCACGGATTGTGGGCGAGTCGTTTTCCAAATGTGGCTCTCGCTTTAACGCCGCGCGCATTCTTTTCAAACATGTGCAACGGTTGCACGGATTTTGGGCGAGTCGTTTTGAAAATATAGTTCTCGCCTTAGCGCCGCGCACATTCGTTTCAAACATTTGCAAGAGTTTCACGTATTGAGGGCGGTTCCTTTTGAAAAGGGGGCTCTTGTCTTAGCGCCGCGCACATTCATTTTAATCATTTGCAAAAGTTTCACGGGTTCCCACCACCAACGTACCAGAAATGGTGTTTTGGAAGTTTCAGGGTTATGCAGGTGCAACAGTTATGTTCATTCGCTGTGTTTCAGTCCTAGGGATGGCTTTCTGGCATGATTCAGGATCGTCAAGGCGCAACAGTCAGGTTGATCCGTGGTGTTGGAATCCCGAGAATAGTGTTTTAGCATGTTTCAGGGTCTTCAAGCGGGTGTCTTCCAACGAGGAAGTTTCATCACTGGACATGGAGCCGTTGTAGGGGCCTATGACGAGGGAGCTTGGAGGGAGGGTTAATTCCAATATCGTTGATGATACTTGGGTTTGCACTGGTCCTCCTCCTCCTCCTCCTCCTCCTCCTCATCCTCCTCCTCCTCCTCATCCTCCCCCCCTCCCCCCTCTCCCCCCCTCCTCCCTGCGCGCACGACCGTGCTCCTGGACCCCCTCAGCGACATTCCGTGGCCAGGGCCTCCCGCCAATGGGCCGTTCTTTCAAAGTGGCTGCCTCCGCCGCCGCCGCCGCCGTCGTTGTCGCCGTCACCGTTGCCGTCGCCGTCACCGTCGACGTCGCCGTCGCCGTCGCCGCCGCCGTCGTCGTCGTTGTCGTCGTCGCCGTCGTCGAGCGTGGAGGGTCGAGGCTCGATGTGCCATGATTGAGGTTTCTGGGCGCTTGCTGGTTTTCTTTGGTCTCTGGAGGCCTCCAGAGTCGTTCTGGGGCCTCAGGAGATGTTTGTGGATCGCCAGAGGAGGTCGGCGTTGTCGTCGTTGTCGTCGTCGTCGTCGTCATCGTCGTTGTCATCGTCGTCGTCGTCGTCGTCATCGTCGACCTGATGAATTAGCCGTGGATGCCCAATTGCCGGGTTGCTGAGAAAATTGCCATGCTGCGAATCGCCGGCAAGTTGCTGCCCAGTTGTTGACGCTTGCCCTCGCAGCCTGATTGTCTTCGCACGGAGGCCAACGACTCATAACAATGCAGATTATTGCATATCTTCGCACGATCTGTCACACTATCATATCATTGCATTGTGCAGCATAGCATAGCTGCATAGCGTAACATTGCACAGCGTCGCATCACATGGCGTGGCGTTGCACCGCGTAGCGTCGTGTATGACGTTAACCAATGTATCGCATCGTGCAACGTCGCCCAGCACAGGGTAGCGTGTTAGAGCGTTGCGTTGCATAGCATCGGATGGCATACCATAGTGTTTCATTTCGCAACAACGCACTGCAGAGCAGTTGGTGCATCGCATAGCATGACATCGCACACCACAGTAGAATAGTACTGCATTTGCATTTGCATTTGCATTTGCATGTGCATTTGCATTTGCATTTGCATGTGCATTTGCATTTGCATTTGCATTCGCATTTGCATTTGCATTGCATTGCATTGCATTGCATTGCATGTAATCGCATAGCACGTGATTCGCTATAGCTACATTTGGTAGCGTGACAACGCATAGCGTATCAAGCATGCCTGTATAATTGCAATGCATCGCATCTCATGACATATCATTGCAGGGTGCACGATATCCATGCATGCACAACCCGGCATGGGTGTGTCGTTCCACACCTTAACATGACATTACTTCTAACAGCAAGCGCAATCAACTGCGAGCCACACGAGGCAATGTAGAGCCAAGACATCTTTGCTGTGCCTCCCCCATTTGTTGATGCTCGAGAAACTGCCTCCTGGGTGCTCTCTTGAGCCATCAGGGGGTTGCCTTGAGGCCTCAAAGGCCCACTGGAAGCCAACGCGGGGCAAGAAGGCGACACGGAAACTGATACGCCTCCCGATTGTTTTGGGTACTCAATGGTACCCTTGGGAGGTCTGGGGCCTGCTTGAGAGCCATCTTAGAGACTTCTTGGGGCCTCTTGGAAGCATGGTGGTGCCATTTGGACCAGCCCGAGCTGTTTTTCTCCATCTTTGTTGGTCGTCTGGGGCAATTCTTCTGGGGCCATCTTGGGGCGGAGCCATATTGGGGCAGGACGGACCGACACTGTGACCACCTGCGACCACCCCTGTCCAGACCCTGGGGAGGGTCCCCGAAGGGAGGAAGGGATTCCTCTGGAATAGCTCATTCGCCAAAACAAGTATGCCCAGATGGCTGGTGGGCCTCTGTCCCTCGGAAGTACGTGTGGCTAACCAGGGGCAACAGGACCTACGCTAACGGCGATGCAGGTAACGGCGATCAGCTTTCGGTATCGCAGGTGGGGATGGTTCGTGGCCGACCCCTCTGTAAGAAAGGCTTGCTCGTGTATTCCTGCAGTTTGTTCTGCGCGAGTTCAGCGTCGCAAGAACAAGATTCCCAACATCGCCGTCAAGCGACATCGCCGTCAGCGTGGCCTTGGCTTGCTTCCTGGCATCCGCAGCCACCTTGGCCCGAGCGGGCCTGCACAGGAGATCCCTCAGCTCGCTCCCGGGCCTGCGGCAGGCCATGTCCGCGGCGGTGCCCGCCCTCCCCGCAGCCCACGCGCCCCATCCCGGCAGCCCCGCCGTGGCTTCGGCGGCTCCGGGAGGTGTTGGGCGTCGCGTCAACGGAGAGGCGATGCATTGGGGGGGGGGGGGGCAGCGAGGGCTGCAGGAAAGGGCCCCTCAGGGCCCCTGAAAGGGGCCCCTCCGGGCCCCCAAAAGGGGGCCTTCAGGGACCGAGGAGTGCACCTCTCTTCCCCCCCTTGATCGCCCCCCCATTAATTGACGCCCAGAGGTGGCGCCGTGGCTGCCGTCGCGGCGGCCACAGCAGCCGCCATGCTGACGTCGCCCCCGGCCCCAGCCTCTGTGTCCGAGCCGATCGCCAGTGCCTTCACCCAGGCAGCCCCGACGACTGCAGCCCCAAGGGACCCGACCGCAGCCACGACGGCCAGCCCGGTGACCTACCAGTGGGCGCCGCCCGACGCCTCGCCAGCTGCACCACAGCCGGCAGCCCAGGCGGCATGGCACGCCGTGGCAGCCCCGCGCACGATAGTTGCCGTTCCGCGGCAGGCCGTGCCGGTGCAGCAACAGCTGGGGCCAGTGGAGAGCACGGAGGCGCCCACGGCGCACGCTCCGTCTGCTGGAGTCTCCGCCGGAGTCTCCGCTGGAGTCTCCGCTGCGACGATTGCCGCCAGCGAGGCTGCGCCCACGCCCGTTGTGGTGGCGACCGGCGCGGAGGCCTGCGCCGCCGCGAGGCTGGCCCAGGCTGCCATGACCCAGCGACCGCAGCAGCAATACCCGGCCGCCTCCGCTGGCGCTGCAGCCCAGCCGCTGGCAGCGGCCACCGCCCAGGAGCCGCGCCAGGCCCACCAGCTCCGGCCCGTGGCTTCCTTCGTGCCCGTGACGCTGCGGCCCTCCGCCAGCGCCGCGTCCATCGTAGCGGCGCCCGTGCACGGGCCGGCAGTGTACGCCGCCGACGTGCTCCGCCACGGGGAGGTGGTGCCCGTGGCGCTGGCTTCGCGGCCCCTGTGCCCAACTTTCGCGCATGCACCAGTGGTGGTTGCGGCAAGCGCGGCTGCGGCCCACGCGGGCCCGCTGCCCCCGTCCATGCTGTACTCGTTCTATCCCAAGGCGCAGCAGGAGGCGGCGGAGAAGGTCGCGGTGCTCGCCGTGCCAGAGGGGCAGCAGAAGGTGAAGGTGGTGCGGAAGCAGAAGGGCGCGTGCCTGTGCTGAAGGAGCGCGGGCTAACGTCGACGCTCTGAATGCTGAATGAGTGCCTGTGGCATCGTAGGAACGTTTGTTTTCGTCTACATTCCCCGTGCCGACCCCGTGCTCCTCTCCCCTCTGCTCTCGTATTGGCTCTCCCTTCGCCGCCGCCCATCGGTATTTTACCCCGCTGGAGCACGTGCGGCGGAATACTTCGCCGCTGATAATGTTTTGTGCGTGCAGGCATGCAGGGCCAATGCTTATTAATTCGCAGGTGCATGCCGAGGGGGAGAGGCCTCTTTCGGCATGATTCATGAAAGTGGTGGCAACAATTGAGAGCTCTCCCCGTGTGTGTGTGCAATGCTTCGAGCACGGTTCGGGCGCGACGATTGGAGCACCAATGCGTGCCGTCCAACAAGTGGCTGAGCCTTCCTCCAGCTCGATCTGATCCTCCTCATCATCTTCTTCCCTCCCCTCGTGCTCCCACTCCCACCCCCTAGACCTCCGACGTCGTGTGTCCCCGAATAGCTCGTCTGTGAGGGTCCCGTATAGTTCTTCCAAGAAGCCGAGTGCGGGGATGGCTAGATTTGGAATCGGCCGGGCGCCTTGGTCTCCCAAGGCCCCTCACTTTCTCCCGTGGGCTCTCGTGGCCTCACATCGTATCAATGTGAGTGTTATGTGTTGCATCTGTAATCGCATTTGTGTTAACATCCGTAGTAGTAGTAGTAGTAGTAGTAGTAGTAGTAGTAGTAGTAGTAGTAGTAGTAGTAGTAGTAGTAGTAGTAGTAGTCGTAGTAGTAGTAGTAGTAGTAGTAGTAGTAGTCGTA